GCCACTTACTATCAGACGCTTGACATATGGATTCATCAGAACCATCGTAGCAGTCGCCAGCCCTGTCACATCTTAAGGCGACTGGGATACAAAATCCTTGCTCGCTTCCTTCAATGCAAGTAAAAGATGCGGCATCACACACAGCTGTAATAGAAAACAGATGATGAAATATCTATGAAAATGCATCTATTTACATTTAAAATTGAATCCCTACACATACTAATGTGGCCAGAGTCGGTCTCGAACCTACGCCTTTCTATTAAAGCCCTGGAGATATACCGCTGTTCCACACGCTTCCACAGAAGCCTGGGGAAACAAGCATGGTAAATAAATAGCATTTTAGTTTTTTAAACTTATAAATTTTGGATAGTTGTGCACAAAACTTGAACTTACGGGCAATGCAATCCTGCTCGTCCGACCGATCGCCACAGTCGTCAACACCATTGCATACCTTGAAATCTTTAACACATCTTTCGTTGGTGCATTCAAAATCCAAAGCTTTACAGGGAGCTGGAAAAAATAATTAATTTAAACATGTAAGCAAGAAATTATTTAGTAAATCAGTAAATTATCATCTAGTTCATATTATAATCAATAGGTCAATCAATGAATGAATCGATCAACTAATTAATAAATCAATAAATCAATCAATCAATCAATCAGTCAGTCACTCACTCAGTCAGTCGCTCAGTCAGTCAACCGACCAATTAATAAATCAATTAATTAATCAATCAATCAACCAGTAGATCAAATTAATCAATTAACCAATCAATCAATCAACCTATGTGACTAATCAACCAATGTTACCAATCAACCAATCAATCGATCAATTAATATATATGAATGAGTTCGCCTAAATCCAAAAATATTTGGGGTACTGTGTATAGTATCGATCAACGATTTATTACCGTAATACTGCAATCCTTGTGAGTATTGCTCCAGGTCAGCTAGTATAAAGTGTGACGAGTCTTTGATTTGCGACTTTCGCACAGGGTTCGTGTTGCACACAGTCACTGCCGGGAAAACGATTTCACGTCCTTCTATATTGCTCACTTTTATCTAAAAATATTGCAAGAATTGTTAAAAATGGGAATCATTGTTAAGCTTAATATTATATAAGAATATTTTATTCTATATTGTTATATCTCATTCAATATAGGTCTATTGTATTTCAATGTGGGAAAACTGCAAATCATCTTTCATAAAAAAAAAAAAAAAAAAATAAAAAAAAAAAAAAAAAAAAAAAAAAAACCATTCAAAATAGGCAGTAAAAATTACATGTGGCGTATACTAGGACCAGTAAAG